CGGCCTTATTTACCTGGGCACAGCCTCAGCCTCCCCGGTGGGAGGCTCGGGGTGGCCAATCCTCTCCCACCGGGGAGCTCCTCTCGGGGTGCGGCCGAGGGGGCCGGCCAGGCCCCAGCGCTGGGCGCGGGGCGCGGCCGGGCCCTGCTGGCCAGGCCAGCACCTCGGCCGCCTCCCGGCTTCGTCGGCGCCCATGCCGGGCTCCCCATGACGGGAGGACGCCTGGTGAACAGCGTGGCATGAGCCAGGAGCCCGGGCCGAGGTAAGGTGTGTGCTCTGGGTTTGGCTGCGGGGCCGCCGGGAGGGGCCCGGCTACGCCACCGCGGCCGGGCAGCCACAATGAGGAGGGGACGGAGAGGGGCTTGGGACAGCGCCTCTGCCACCCCCAGAGGGCTTATATAACCGTAGCCCCTTCCCTGGCCGTGGCCGCTGGGCCTCAGGCCCTGCTGGGCCTTACCACAGCCCCTTATCCCAGCGGAGGGCCTGGTCGAGGCCCACTCCCCATGGCAACTGGACTAGGACTGGGGGTGGGTGCCACCTGACAGTGTACCGGTGGGAGGGGAATGGCAGGCCCCCAGCCCACCTGGCTGGGTGAGATCCTGGACCACCACTGAGCTCTGGGCCCCCCACCTCAGCTCCTGGGCCTATGAGAGATGTGTTAGATACAGTTACACTCCAGGAGGAGCTATGTGGACCCATGGCCAGAGGGCCTGTTTACCCCTGGACACGTTCTGGACAGGGGCCTGTATGGAGCTGCCACAGTGGGAGGATGAGGGGAATGGGGGGCTGGGCATGTGCCTGGCTCTAGAGGAGGGATCAGGCCTTGGCCAAGGCTGGAGGGCCTCAGAAGGGGAAGTGGGCACCCTGAGACTTGCTGGGGAGGGGTCCTGTACTCCTGGATCTTGAGTGGGTGGAGAGAGTCATGCACCCATCACCCCAGAAGGAGAGAAGGCCTGGCTATTGGAGCCTTAGGGAGCCCAGGGCCCAGTGGCCACTCCTCCAACTCCTCCCTGTCTCTGCAAAGGAAGCCATCCCTCCATGGAAAGAGCAGATGGTGGATGCCACCTAACCAGCCCCCTCCATCAGGCCCCTCCCCACACCCACCACCTCCTACAGCCCAGGGACCAAAGTCAGCTGAGGCCACCAGCTCCTTTGAGGGCTGCTGGACAGCAGCCTCGGCCCAGAAGCCCTGGGCTGACCTGGGCCCCTGAGAGGTTTTCAGTCCCCCAGGCCAGGGCAGATGCCTAGTGAAGACCCATTGGTGGTCACAGGGCTGGACCAGAGCTGTCTGGAGAGGAGAGAAAGTTAAGCCCCAGTCGTAAACATGGGCAGTGCAGGGTGGACTGTTCAGGCCCCAGGGGACCCCAGGACTCAGCTGCCCCACTGCCTGCTGCCTCTACTACCTGGCTCCCCCCATCTCACCCATCCCTCACTTATCGGCACCTCTAACACCAGGGAGGTTCATGGGACAGACACCACCCAGACGTCCAGCTCACGCCCAGTTCCAGGGCACTTGAGTCCTGTCTCCCACTGATGAGATGGAAACAAGTGGCCCCGAGGTGCGGGGAACCTGGGCCCCCTGAGACAGCTGGGCCCGGGCAGGCCTGCACTGCTGAAAGCCAGGGAGACATCTTATCCCGAGATGGGGGAAGGGGCTCCTTGGCTGGCACTGTGCTGCTGCCCACAGCCTCATGTCCTCACACATGGGAGGTCGCTGCTGTGCCTGAGGTTGGCATGGGATAGGAGTGGAGGTGGCAGTGACGGAAGGTCTGTGGGGGGCCCAGAACTTTTCCCACTGGTGGACTAGTTGAGCTTCCACCAGACCAGCTTCAGAAAGTGGGCTCAGACCACCTTCCCCACCTTGGCAGGAAAGAGGGGGAGGGATTGAGGCAGCTGCCCAAAGAAGCAGGCACTAGATACCCCAAGCCTGGGCCTTGGGGAGCTCAGATCCTTCAGAGCAGAGGAACCAAGATGAAGCCTGGGATCCAACATCCACTCCTCAAGGTACTCAGTCCTACATGGCTGAGGTGCCCTGAGCTTGGCCAAAAGACTCTCTCTCTGTTGGAGCATGAACTTGGGTCTTTCTTGAGGCCATGTGCTCCCTTCCCAGAGCCCCTGGTGCATGAGCGGGGCAACCTGCACACCAGAAGCATCTCCGAGTTGGGGGAGAAGGGAGTGCTGATGCTAAGACATGTGCAAAATGGCAGGGATGTGAATGTGCCTGAGTCACGGGGCTTGTCATGGAGTATGTCAGCCCACTCCATGTCCCCAATCCCAAGCTGCCCTGATTATCTCCCAAGCCCCTGGGGCCGCTACCACAGATCAATGTATATGAGTTTTAGTGGCCATCCATCCCTGCCTAGATCCATGGCCCTCAGCAGGCGGGGGGGAACTGGTCAGTGCAGGCTTTACTGGGGCCAGGCCCCCCCAGCATCCAGGGCAGGCTGTCAGATGGGGGCATCAAGGATGGAGGAAGAGACCTCCAAGGTGGGGGCCATGAGGGGTTTAGGGTTTCCTGGGAATGAGCAGTCCAGAAGAAGAGTATCCCAGTGGTGGACATGCAGCTTGTAGCCTCTGGAAGGAGAGCAAGGGTGATAGGGACAATGGTGGCAGAGACCACCAGTCCAAGGTTCCAGGCTGGGAAGGCACAGGTGACAGAAGAAGCAGACCAGCGCAGAGAACGGAGGCCACAGGAGGTGCACCTGGCCAGAGGCAGGCCAGCTGGGGGCCCCAGGTTGACCTCTGGACCCAGGTGCCTGGCTTGGGCTTTGGGAGTCAGACAGATGGGGGTCTCGGAGTCAAATACCAGCTTTGTGTAACTTCTGAAAATTCACACTCTGAGACCTGCTTTCCCCTCCATGGTCAGGCAGTGTGTGAAGGGCTCAGAGCAGCAGTGAGGGGTGTGGTGCTGGGAAGAGGTGGACCCCTTGCTTCCCTCCCCCCTGGTGGTGCCTGCCCCTTCCCCTCAGGTCTGGCCAGATGATGGGGAAAGGCTGCCAGCCTCCTTAACTCTGCAGCTTCCAAGGGGAGCCTCAGCCAAAAAGGAGACATGAGCCATCGTCTTCCCAAGGCTCTGAATAACTGCAAGGTCCACCCAAAGCCCCACAGTCTTGAGGGCCTTCTCAGAGACTCTGGCACCAACCCAACTGGTGTCAGTGGTCTCCCTCCCCTGTGGACACTGACCTGTCACAACCAGGATTAACAAATTGAGCTGCAGCTCCCCCACTGACCGCCCTCCTCTTAGTCTGACCTATCCTCCATCAAGCCTCATGGGCCTCAGGCAGCCACACCCCTTTCTGCATGACCCTGCTAACTGGACTACCATCATTCATTCATTCATTCATTTAGCAAGCCCTGAGAAGCCCCTAAGACATGGTGCTGTCCATTCTCAGGGAGCCCCCAGTCAAGGGGAGAGGCTGACAGGTAGACAGTGATGATAGCCCAATTGATGACTGAGACCCTGGAGATGTTTTCTCAGTGCTGTAGGTCCCACTGGGGGAGGCAGGAGCAGCGCTCACAGCAAAGGGTGGAGGAGAAGAAGGCTGCAGGGTTAAGGAGCAGGGGGACCAGCATGTGCCCGGGCAGAGATGGGGAGGGAAGGAGGAAGGCAGGGCTGGTGAGGCTCCTAGGGCCTAGTGACGACCTGCAGAAGAGGCAGCTCCTTATGAAGCCCCAGCATGGCCATCTGCAGACTCAGCCTAGAAGTCACCAAGTTCTGGAGTCCTCCTAGGAGCCCCCAGTACCCCACCATGCTCCCTAGGTCCACTCTGGCCCCCATGCTTCACAGTGAGTCTTGTGGGGAAACACAGAGGCTCTTGCAAGTGGTACCCTGATCCAGCTCTGGCTCAGGCTGATGGGGACAAGACAACTAAAGTAGTGACCACCATCTCCCTCCTTGCCCCAGGGTGAGCCCAGGAGCCTCAAGCCCCTGCAGCCTCTCCTGGGAGGGGACCTCTTCCAGAGTTCTACTCCACACTGAGGAACAACCCACCAGGGCTGAGTTTGACAAAATGCAAGTGTGGCCATCTTTTTTTAAAGCCTCTTCCCAGCACTAGCTCCTGGTGTTTATCCCTTAAAGGCAAGCAGCCCCCAGCAGACTGGCAGCTGCCCGTAACCCCTCCTGGCAGGAAATTCCAAGCAGGTCCTCCGAACCCCACTGGGTGCAGTCACAGGTGCCAGGTGGGTGGGTGAGGCCAGGGCCAGGCAGAGGGACCTCTTGCCCAACTGGCAGGAAGACCCATCTCTAGCCATGAGCTCTGTTTTCAGTTTTGAGCTACAGAGCAGGGGATTCTCAGGCTGGGTCCACGAGGCTGGAGTGTGAGGAGCAGCTGAAGCCCAGCAGGACCATGGACAAGGTTGGGGAGCAGCAGGGCCGCCTCTATGGGAGGCAGCTCCAATCCAGGGATGGGAGTAGGGGTGGAAAGAGCTGACTGACAGGCAGGGTGGTGCCTTCTGGCCAGGGTTGGGAGTGTGGGATGAGGAGCAGCCTGGCCTCAGACACTCTCCCCAGGCTACCAAGGGTCATCCTCAGTCTGGCCCCTCCCTCCCATGGGCTCTCTCCCAGGGGCTGGCTTGTTTTCACCAGCTCCACCCTGAGGCCTGGAGCGTGAAGATGGGACTGTGGGCATGTGCAAATGTGAGCTCCAGTGGGGGCGAGAAGGGAGCCTCGCAGTTGCCCGGGGCATCCACGTGCATCCCCCCCACCCCCATCCCCCCAGCTCAGGCGCTCCACGTGCACACCCATGGCTGGGAGCATTTTCAATCTAAATCCGCACTGCTCTTAAATTATTTCACCCCTGGTGCCACCTCCGCCGCCTCCGCGGGCTCTTACACGAACAGGGTGGCTTCTCTTCTCCCCTGCGCCACCCCCACCCGCCTCCAGGGCCCCTCCCTGCTAAAATGGGTTTGCCAGATCCGTTCTCCACCCCACACA